AAGAAAACAATACAATGTTATATCTCCATTGTTTTACTCAAATTGAAATGAAAGAAAAGCATCACAAGGTTTGTTAAAAGGTAATCCTTCTGACATTGGATGAACGTAATTAACTTTAGCTCTCTAGCTAGTTTATTCACGCAATTTAAACCAAAGTATAGCTGCTGCAATATAAGTTAGTGTGCATGTTGTCGGACGTCCACTGACTAACGTAGAGCGTTCACACAGGATCTGCAGGTCATATGATGTCCTGATGAACAGAAACACAAGCAGCCCGCGGGACTCAGATCTCTAGATACTTCATCACTCCTTCGCTGCTCCGGTACAAGTCCGGGCTGCGGTGGTTTGTTGATACATGTCGTCTTCTTCTGTTTGCTTTAATCAAGGCTACGTAGTTATGCAGCGCCCCCATCGGCAGTAAATGGAAGTACTACAAAGAACCCCGTTTTAGTGCAATTATTTCACATGTTTTGTATGCACAGCTCGAAAAATATTACCGAGGTCCGGACCTCGGTGACCTCAATGGTAGATACGGCCATGCACATATCTTGTACCTGAACACAACAATGTGCAGCACACTGTGTTGTATTTAGTCAACTCAAACCCAAGTATCCACTGGTGGTACTTAAAGCTGATGTCACAGGAAGGGTTTGTCTACAAGCCTTTCAAATGCGTAGTGGAGTATGTCAACCACTGAAGCTGCACCTTCACTCTCCACTCTCCACTCTCCACTCACTCCTGGGTGTAAAAGAATGGGGGCTATGGGGGTGGGAACACTCACTCATAAATCCCTAGTGGAGTGGAACATTGTGTATGCGTGTGCCTGCATGTGTGTGATTGCGTGATTGTGCATGGAAGAATGGGCAGCAAGCAAGGGGGAGGAAGAAGAGACTGAGGAAAAACAAATTGAAACTCTGGATACTGAACCTACTGCTCTCAATTTCACTGTGTTTATGGCCATTGATGTGTTCTAGCATGGCCGGTTAAAGGCAGAGAGAGCAATACAAGAGGAAATAAATTGAGCGAAATGTAAGACTCCTGCTGAGAAACAGGTGGAACTCCTCAGATGGCTTGAGGAGAAGAAGGGGGAAGCATGCAGAGACTGGTTTCCTCAGTCCTTTGCAGGCAGAACAACTCAACATGTGTAGTGTATTACAATGGCTAACCATGACATAAGACATACATTTACATTTTGATAGCAATATGTGTTTGAAAGTACTCATCATTGGAGCTAGTGAAGTTGTACACTCTAACTGTGACCAGAACCAATTCAAACAAAGATACCATCAAGGTAATTCCTTGTCAAACTAAAGCTTTGTTCAAGCAATAATGCCTATATATGACTTTTTAAAATAACTACCCACTTAACCCTTATGTTTCTGTCCTTCTGTTTCCCTATAGGAAGACCATGAGATCCCCACCAGCGTGTTTGTCAAGGACTCCCTCAGGACCCCCCAACCAAGCCAGTATGATGCAGACTCCATCCTTCCTGCTCCGTCTGTTACCGGCTCTATTGATGGCAGCCGTGCCAATGATGAAGGTCTTCTGACCATCAGCCTCTCCTCAGACGACGATGATCTTACAATACACCATGAGGAGGACGAGATGTTTGAGGGCGACGCCGCGATGGGCCTGGGCCCTTCCAGCCCGTATGAGAGAAGGTCTGACAAGTTCAAGCGCAACAGCCTGAAGAAGGTGGACAGCCTCAAGAAGGTGTTCTCGCGTCAGAGCATCGAGAAAAAGATGACCCAGATCACCACAAGAATCGTGCCTCCGGAGCAGCGTGAGAAAATAAAAAAGAGCTTCACCACTAACCATCCCAAGAGCCCGACTGCCAAGGTGTCCTCTTTCAAGGTATCCCCCATGACCTTTAACGTCAAGAAGGTCCGAGACGGGGCGGTCCCCACACAAGAATTGGGCTCGACTGAGGAAAAGGTACATGTGGAGATTCCTGCTCTGGGAAGCATGGATGGAGAGTTTGTCCTGTCGGAGGAGCACATCCGGGAAGGCGTGGTGGAGCAGATCCACGAGATGCTCGGCTCCACCTCCAGCATCAAGGCACAGCTGGCAATCAATGGAGAGGCACCAAGCTTTGAGTGCGAGATCAATGGTGATCATGTCGCTGGCCTGGCAGTCGCAGAGGTTGATGATGGCGAGGATGGAGAAGAGGAGGAAGAAGAGAAACAAAAAAACCCTGTTGAGAAAGCAGAAGAAACGCAGATTCCCACAGCAACAGTTGCTGTAGAGCAAGTCGCTTGATTGCCATTATATATATTTTCTTGCACAAGTTTCTACATTTATGATTACCCAGCAGGCACAAATCATCCCTCCACTGTAAATAGTCTTATGTTCTTGTTATTAACACCTGTAAACACTAGAAATATACTCTTGGCATCCTAAAGTAGTCCATACTTGGACCATCAACCCTAACCCTAACCCCTTACCACTACCTTATTACAAGCTTAGTCTAAAATACCTTGAAACCGACTGTTTAAGCAACTAGGTTAACACATACACCTACAGTGTGTCCGAATGAAAGTGCTTCCTAAACCCTGTGGGAGGGTTGTCCAAAGAAAGCACCAACGCACCAGTGTACTATAACTCACTCCCCTTAAAAGGTGCCCACCTCCTCAATAGCAGCACATCTCCAGGGCACTGGGCCAACTATCTCCATCCTGCTCTGTTTGTCTGCCTCTGACGACCAGCCTCTTCATTCTTTTTTTGTTTTTGTAAAAACAGTAAATCTTCGGCTGTAGCGGTAATGCCCACAGAATGTTGAGGCGGTGTGTTGCCAGGTTGTGGAAGCGTTGGAATGAGAAATGTCAGGGTTTTCAGTGAGAAGGTTCAGGGGTGTTTTGTTGTGGACTAGAGGTTGTTTACTAAAATCTTTGGAGCTATGTAAAAATATTTAACTAACAGTTGAACTTTATTAAGTTGATTGGCGCTGTCTTGTATCCTGTCCTTCACTTGCGCCCGTAGAAACACTTGCATAGTGCAATCCAATTGGTCAATTTCACCTTTATCATTTATGTTCTACCTAACTTACCACGGGAGGTGCATGTAGGGCTTTAAAGTATTTGATTAATTTGCGATTGCCAATTGAGTATCCTCCAGGTTTAAGAAAAATAGATGGCATTTGAAAAAGTCTAAATGTTTATGCAAATCATGCCAATCATTAGCCTAAAAAAGCTAAAGGACAAACGCATTTACTAATAAGCGCTCCCACAATTGTGCTAAATTACACTGGTACAACGAAGGACATCGTTGCAGGATAGAAGCTACTAGAATATTGCATTAGTAACACAAAGAACCCTGCAGGTTTAATACTGACATACTAAATGTGCCTTGTACAGCCCCTTTGCTTTTTTGCAGGGCAACTTTATATGTTAATGTATAGGATTTATTTTCTTCTGTGAGGCACACTAGCAGCTAACACTTTACGGGGCATAGTCATAAAAGCTGAGAAGTTCATAGAAGGTGTAAATTATATTTTCAATCATTCCCCATACAGTTTTTGTTTGTAAGTAATGCTTGTAAGTTTCAAAAAGTGAACTTGCTCTAGTTGCGCACCATTAGTGCTCTACCAGCCATAGTTACAGATGTCTAATGCCATGACTCCCTAGAAATAATTGAGCAAGTGGTACCAGGTGCCAAGGATCCAGAGAGGTCAGCAAAGTGGATAAAGGCAGAAGACAGCATTCCTAGCTTTGACGGATGACTCCTGCTCAGCCCATTTTTCATGCTCTGGCCGCCTTGTTGAGACGGTGCCGAGAGGAAGACACAGTCTGGAGCCACAGGTGTTCCGCCCCTGTGGAAACTACTGGGCATGTAGTGGAAAGAGGACAAGTCTGGGTGTTGGGAAGTCTGGGAAAGGGGGATGAAATTGCCTCAGGGTTAGGCATATGTGTGTACAATTTTAAAAATTAGACCTTGGGAACTGAAATAAGTTGTAGTGAGTATTGCTGCCTCCTATATTACAAATAGATGATTAACTATAAGTAAAAAATATAGTGCCCCAATTTTTGTGAGTATTTTAACTATGCAAAAACTGTATTGAGGTCTTACAGTGGATAAGTATGAAATGGCAGAAATATCTTCAAAATGACTTCACATAAACCTTGTATCCATGTATTACAGAATGTTACCTGCCGTTAACCTGCAAATCAGCTTAATGGGATCTGTATAGTAAAATAAATGAATGATTTGAAAGAAGTCGTTACTTGTGTTTATTAAATGATATTATGATAATCCTTACTTTCTTTTTATTTCTTCTGTGTATAAATAATCTTGCTGAAAAGGGATTGAACCCTATAGGCTTATGTGAACATGATTTGAACTGTAGAGGTTAATATGTGACTGGCTAAGAGGCATTGTCTGCTTATTCATGCAAATCTTTAATGATATCTTTGTCTGCTAATGTTAAAAATGAATATATAGATTTGTTAATGTCTGCAACAGTCTGTTATTATGTGTCCTGATTCCTGAAAGCAGACTGCTTATGTCTGGATCATAATGTATGTGGGAGCTGTTTTAAGCAACAGATCTTTGCTTATCAAGTAGTGATATCATGTTTAACGTCATCGGTGTTTATACAGAGTTCTTTATAGAACATGTATCTAGTTAAAGGTGGGGTAGGTCATTTTGGAGAAACCAGCTCGAGTGTGCTAGAATAAAAAATAAAAATACACAACCGGAAAAAATCTGCCACTTCCTTACAGAGCCCCTCCTCCAACACACACGAACATGACCAATGAGGGCACGAGATAAGTTTTTGTACAGATGGAAGGCTGACAGGCAGGTAGGCCATCCAGTTATTTTAGCCTGGCCGGCTAAAATGATTGGTCGTGCTTTTTACAGCGCTACGGCTTCCAGAGATTAATTTTTGTATGTATTTATTGTCAAAGCATTTAATATATTCATTGCTATCGCGATGTTAAGAGCATTCCATGGAATATAACAAAAAGTGTTTCTGAAATAAATTACATACCCCACCTTTAACCACTTAAACCAAAGAAGTTTCCTTAACAGCAGTAATTCCTAGAGGGTTTAAATAATCGCCTTCTGATACTTGTTTCATGTAGTAATATAGTAATGTATACATCAATAAAGATTGTGTAACATCCAAATATTGTTTTTGGTCTTGTTTTTGCAGTCTGCGATGTCAAGGGAGGTAAAACAAAAATGACATCCTAGTTGTTTAGTGTGGCTTAAATGTGATCCTAGTGACTTGCATGTTTGACCTACAGTGCACAATAAACCGTATTTAAACTAGCTGCAGGTAAAAGGTAGATTATTCTCAGCGAAGGGAGTGGTTCAACTGCTCAACCTTTATTTACATAGCAAAGTTTGAGCTCTATATAAAAACATGATAGAACAGGTGTTAGGATCAGAGCTACAATATATGATAGCTTCACCCAAATTACAAAATAACTATTCCCGAGTTGTTTTAAATTGTTTTAAAAAATACAACTGGGGCACTATACTCTTGAACACGCTTTAGGCAATAGCTTGGAACTTGTTACGACAGGAGAAGAAGTCCATTTGAAAAACTTTTGAGTTAAAGTTTTCTAAATTATTTGGTTAAATACCTGAGTTTTTCTATACAATGAGCACCATACATTCGAATAATTTCCCCGCCTGTTTATCGGGAAGCGGACGAAATATTAGACAACGATAAAGAGATCGATTTTTACAGAACTCGGCACATCTGTAAAGGGGTGTTGCTTTTTACAACATAGTTAAACAGTGATCATGTTGCATAGGTGTGTTTTGGTGACCTACATTTACATATTGCCTTTCTCAAACTAATCAAAACTGTTATGGTTAATCATAGGGTAAAGTCATCTCCAAAAAGGTTTTCTCTGAACTTCCGTGAGGAACTCGAGCTGTTTTGATGGTGTTTGGCTCCCTCTTGTGTCAAACTTACGACAACACTTAGTGCTTCTGCCATCAGCTTACCTATTGTCCCTATTAATCGTACCACTAGAATTAGCCGGTTAAAATGAATACATTATACAGTAAGTATATGTCTGTAAAACGTCATCATAATTAATATGTATACAGACTAATATATGCATATATAAGTGACGGCCTGACTCTAATGTCCTTTTATACAGTCACGGTGGCCGAGAGGTTAAGGCGTTGGACTCGAAATCCAATGGGGTTTCCCCGCACAGGTTCGAATCCTGTTCGTGACGATTTTGCGTCTAAAGAAAAAATGCTTCAAAATAACTTTATTGTTCTATGTTTACAACACGCAGCCTAAACCCTTAACATTAGCAATTTATATCACTATGTACCATGGATTACTTCTATGGGGACGCATTTAACACTCAATGTGATCAATCTGAGTAAGTGGTCGGTCAAACTGGCCTTTATTGGATGTTTAATAATAGAAGAAGCAATTAGTCGTGATAACATAACAATAAGTGGACTATTTGGCTTTGTATAACAATTTACAGTCGTTAGTCGCAGATTTGATACTGAACCATGGATGTATACTGAACTCTCACACATGTTTATTCTCGCGTTGTTTGTGAATGAGATTAATTTGGTACAAACCAACAACTCTCTTTATTTTTTCCAAACAGGTCAGCGAATTGTTTGCTTGTATTCGTGACTGTAGTGTATTTATAAAGAGAAGCTTGGTACTTTGGTACCTTATTTTGTCGACTCGATTGTATAAGAGCACAAAAAGGAAAGGTCTATGTAGTGTGTACCCCTTCCGAAAGTATAATGGAACTGACCGAGACATATAAATAAGGCCGGTAACGCACATTGACGTAGCTTTTGGGGCATTGTTTGAAGCATGAGAAGTCGTTTAGTCAGCAACGTGTACAGATTGTAGACAGCGTTTTCGGCTTTAGAGTCAAGGCATACATAACCAGGTCCTTGGATATAATGGTCACAGTTTTATATTTACACACTAGTCTTTTTGTGAATAACTTGTCCAGACCGCGTGCTAGCAAAGCTAAAATACGGTTTTGTTCATAAGAGGAAACACAAAGGAAATGCGCTCGCTTTAACAACACTATCGTAAACTTGAGTTGTCTTAATGGTCGAGGAAGATAATTGTTACCTTCAAACAGCCAGCAACACGGACAATATCTCAAGCTCAGGTGTTACTTGCAGACAGTTGATGTATCTCTGTTAAAACAGAAACATCTCAGATTTGAAAGACGATAATACAATTGTTTCAGAATTTCACATTTAGTCCAACTGCCTTACTAAATCGTTGAGATCTTATTCGTGCTATCGTTGAGTGAACAGCTGCTATTATGGCGATAATCGTAAAAAGATATATGCACAGAGACGCGTACAGTGAAATCAAAAGAAGGCAGCCAGCAAACTAGCTTCTCGCGCTAACGATTAGCTAAGCTACTCTGTTCGCAATTCGCCCACCCTGCTTGTGTGTAAGCTGTTTTGAAGAAAGCAGTCAAAAGTCACTGGTATGTTTCAGCTATATCACCCAGTGTCGGTATTTATTGTGTTTGACTTGGACGACTACCGTAGAAGCCGGCCCCTGTGATTAAACATTTGCGCTAACGTTAGTGTTTGTAGTAGGGTGAAGTTAGCATTTGGTTAAAGGCTAATTTGTTAGCTACGCTCAAGCTAACGCTTTTCTGTTGTAGCTACAAACAGTGAGTACTGAGTTGAAGTGAAAGTAAGGGGACGAGTAGTGTTTATTTTTCCTCTTGAGAAACAATGGCAACTGCAACAGGCGAGGCCGTGTTCTTGCTAAAGGATGTGAAGCCCGGGTCAAAAAACTTGAGCATCGTTTTCATCGTGTTGGAAATAGGTAAGTTAGTTGAACCGTGACTCTTATCTTAAGGAGTCTATCCATGTCATCAACGCGTGTATTTTTATTAAAGGGGCCAGTGGAATTGTCGGTAAAATGTAACACCAATGGGGACATTAATTATGTATTATCCCTCTGTTAATTGAACTATGTTAACTTCTTTTTGTTTGTTCTCCTTAGGAAGAGTAACCAAAACGAAAGATGGTCATGAGGTGCGCTCGTGCAAGGTGGCAGACAAGAGCGGGAGCATTGCTATCTCTGTGTGGGACGAGCTGGGCAGCCTCATCCAGCCGGGGGACATCATAAAGTTGACCAGAGGGTAGGAGAGATCTCATTCATTCACACTGGTGACATGAACAGCATTGGCTCAGTTGACTGTAGTGTGTACTATGAACTGACCGACAAATGCAGATAACTATACTTTCATGTTCAGGTGGTTATGTAGATGTTACACATTTCATGAATAATGTATTT